ATGCTAACTACATACAACGTTACAAAGTTACAAGACCAATGAGTTTAAAAATATTTAAACTTCTTTTTGTTCAATACGTAATTATATAGTATAACGTGTAATGTATAAATATTATTTAATAAGCCAGAATAATATTCTTACTCAAACACTAAAGGTGCTTATTAATGCCAAGAAAAGCTATCTTGGCCACCAAGATGTCAAAACTGTGGGAGTACCTTTGAAATTTGAATTTAAATATTGTTTGTCTACAGATTGTCACCACTTAAAATTTATAAGCGGATTGGGTTTTTATTCCTTTTGTTCAAGATGAAAGTATCAGCAATCTTTGACATAAATAACATTTAATTTTAATTCAAAGGGAAAGTTTTTTATTTCATTTTACCTAACTTACGAGTTACTTAATTTTTTGAATTTTTCTAAAATATTCCTTTTTTAAATTTTCATTATTTTTCGTTATTGCACCAGAAAAAAGTACGTTTTTTAAAAATAAATTTATCGCCTTGGCACTGGACTCATCGCACAGTGGGTGGGCACGTGACAACCGCTCCCTCTACCGCGGATTCCCATAATAAGGTAGGCCAGCATTGAAACAAAAAATAAACGCCTGACTCCTTGTTTATCCTGTTTGTGCAGCAGGAATCATGGTCACCGTGGGTTGTGCTGGGTAGTGCTGGGTGCTAGCAGATGTCATGCAAATGCACAAAATTAAATCGTAATGAGTTTTTCTCTGACTACAATCAAATATGCTTTCTAATATGAAACGTTAGTGGACTTTTCCACAATAACGACAACATTCATAATTGGATAAAGACTTTTCTCTCTGCAGCGTTGTTTATGTTGTTTACCTCGAAATTCGTTATTTCATGCTAACTTATTAGGGAAAAATCTTTAAATTTTACAATCTTATTCAAAAGGACATTTAAGTACAATTTGCTCCTCTGGGACATTCCTAAAAAAGAGAATACGTTGACACATGAAATGAAAATATTACAATTTTAATTTTTTTCATTTACATTGAAAAAGTGAATTTTTATATCTAACATTTCAAAAATCCAGTTTAAATTTTTAAAAATCTTCCTCTGTGCTTTCAAAAAAAATACTGTGAATACTTTGTATTTTGATAATCGAATAAATTTATGAAGAGAGACTAATTTTAAAAAATCAATTAAAGTTAAAGAATTTAACTTTACATCTGCATAGCCATAAGATAAATATTTGCGTACTAACAGAAAAGAAAATCAAGTTCTTTTATCGATGAGATACTGCGACGACTCTGTATCTTAGAATCATGTACTCTCAATCATGTACAACATTGATCATATTTCAGAACCATGAAACAATACCATTATCTGCCATTATCTGCCGCTTGCAAGTTTGCCCTCAGATATTGTTTACAAGTTTGAACGATATTGTATTCTACGTAACTTTCAAATCAAAAGCACATAGAGAACATCAACTATGAATGCATTGCGCCACCTTTCAACCGTTTTTTGGATTAGATTTTCCAACAACAGCAACAGTCTACTGTTGCTACTAGCCTTTGTACAATATTGTCATTCGAGACTGTGTTGAAAACTCAATATATAAGATAAGGAATACACAAAAGTACACTATCATTTAGTCATATATATGTATCCTATATCATATGCAGGCAGACTATTTTCATTAAGACGTTATTCAAATTAATAAATTTCAAATTTATTTTCCAAGTAATTTTATTTTTACTCCATAATTACAACACATTTTTGGTGAAATAATAATGTTTTCTACCTTTGCACCTTTGCACCTTTGCACCTTTGTATTGTATTTAAATAGCAAATAAAAAATCTGAATTTCAAATGTGTTTACTGAACGAAGTTTGCCGTTGGAACGCGTTGATTTCCGCGGTTGAATTTCACATTGCACCTGCTTAATGGCTACTTAATTCAAGACGCTCAATTAATTTATTTATCATGAATTGCGTTACGTAAAAAGTCGTAAAATTAAGTCCATCGCCGGAGCGGGCAGCTATGTAGTCTAAGCGCCACGACTAATTAACTACCGCAGCTACCTCCGCGTCCGCCGGTGCACCGGTGCACCGAGAATATTTCAAAACGTGTTTCAATAATTTTCAGAAAAACACCAATCTAAGCTTGGCTTGCAATTATTTTGTATTTTATTTCATTATCATTATCATTAACTGCATTGCTTCAAACTTGTTTCATACAGTTTGGTTTAAACTATTTTCCTAGCACTTCATTATCGATAAACCGAAACATTCTAAATTTTGAAGGTTGGATTAACGAAATTGGTTGACATTCGGTCCTCAAATATTTGCTATTTTCGCTGCAATTTTGCGTTCTCGTTCTTCAGCAAGTGCAGCGAGTGCAGCAAGTGCAGCGAGTGCAGCAAGTGCAGCGTCAGACAGGGGCATTGACAAAGGCATTAGCAAACCCATTAGATACTAAACACATTAAAAGTTAATTTGCAATAATATTTATTTTTCTATCGTAAAGCTCAACTTTAGCATTTCTGCGTGTTTCGCAATAACTTGTTTTGTAGCAAATATTTTATTCAGTTATTTGGAAACTATCGTAGACTAAACAATTTTCCGGTCCAACATTTAGTACCATATGTTGGTATCTATACGATTTCCACCACCTATTCTAAAAACAGCAGTCAGCAATTACACATTTGAGTAACTTTCTAAGCCAATATATCTTGCTTTATTCTTCGAAATTTTTTAATATAAAATATATCCATCTCAAAATTTCAACTATTGTCTGAAAAATACAGTACTCGTTTCTAATTAGAATATTATACAAAATTGCTCAAATTCCATTTAATTGAAAATAAACATGTTCTAATGCAATAATTAATAATTATGTACATACATTCTTTTTATACTATAGATTTAAAACATGATGCATTAAAAAACCGTTCCCTTCAAGTCCCCCTACTTAAAGAATGCCAACAAAGTACCCGAGTAAAGTACCCGAATTCAAACGCTAGAATGTATTATATCAGTGTGTCAGTCGGAATTCCGCGCTAGAGATAATGTAGATATTGTATTTCATGATCAAAATTATATATTGAATGTATACTAAACTTTAGCAATACTTATTGACTAGTTTAAAGCGAACAATAAAACGCACTATCATATTTAAAAAATATTCATCAAATCATATACGTAAACAATACTATAAAATAAAACGACAAATATTGATATTTAGTCAAAAGTAAAGGGATGGGTTTGATATTTTTGTATAAAAATTGTAAAAACATTGTATAAAAATAGAAAAAATACATATATTAAAGTTAAGCGTGTTTAAATATCACTGCTACATATCACACGTATATGAACTTAAATGAAAAGTAATGGGGATGTTTACGTTTGCGTAGTACTGGCCTTCTTCGAAAAATCTTACGTCTCATCACTCATCGATTAAAACAACAAGCAATATTAAAACAATGAATCAAAGTCAAAACAGAATCACAACGTAACTAGTATGTTTGGAACAATTCCCCTGTTTCGGCAGCCCACACTCTGGATTTAAAGGTGCCAAATTTAAGCTTTAGTGTTGAGACTAAAATTTTGTTCTCCAGCATCTATATCGGTGTATAACGTTAACGTAGAATGCGTTCAAAGCGTTACTTATTTAGGTAACATTATTACGAACAAAAGCGGGACTGACTAAGATATCGACAACCACGGAACTCCGCGTGTTTAACGCAAATGTCAAGTCAGTACTTTTCTACGTATGCAAGACATGTAAAAGCTCAAAGAAAATGCAAATCAAGCTGCAAGTGTTTGTCAACAAGTATCTCCCACGAATTCTTAAAATCAGCTGTCCGGAAAGAATATCGGAGATAACGAAACACAAATATTCCTCGATCGGATACACAATTTGACGACCCACAAATAATATAGCAAGGCAAGCACTGCATTGGAATCAACAAAGGTAGTCAACGACCGACCCAGCACACCAGCAAGAATATTTACTTGGAATAATGTCACAAGAACAGCTCTTAATAGAATACGATTTAAATCGTTGATAGAGGCCCTATGCTCCAAAAGGAGTTTACGAAATTGGTAGTTAGTAGTAGTATTAGAATTTTTAATATAACAAGAATTTGTAGATGTGCTAACTTTTCAGCTATAAGGTTTAAAATATATCGATGCTTTACTCTGCCAAGTTATTAAAACACATAACATATATGCAGCAATGTTAAACTTAAACGGCTTTTCAACAATTAGTTGTACGATATATATAACATGTTAAACAAACACCTGGTTTAAAGAGCTCTTCATAAACAACAAAGTGCTATTCTCAACTTCCTTCGGAGTTTTATCACTCCACGAATTCAATCAGCCGCTACAGACTACATATCCAACTACATAACCTACTTGCCGTTCGATAGCATTCTAAACATATGTTATATATCTGTAACATATAATAACATATGTTATATATCTGTATGTTAATTTATGTTCTTAATGAAGCGAAATACGTATATATATGGTCGGAATAATTCCATATTTTAAATTTATTAATTCGTTTCTACTGATATGATATAGATTTTATAAAAAAAATGCTGAACTGTACTCTTCAGTGGACCCAAAAATTACGTATTTAATCTTCCTATAGGCGAGATAAAAATATAAATGCGATAAATAATAATGTGTAATAAAAATTACATTTTTGAAGAAAGTAAAGATGTATTTTTTTAAGAAAAATTTATTCGAATCAAAATCAAAGTATTCAATAGAGCAAACAGTTCTCACATATCTTCAATTCACATATCTCATTTATTTTCAGACTCACAGTTTATATTTTAGATGTTATAATATTCTCAGAGGTATTACTAAGTTGCTCTAAAGCTTAGATTAATTTCTACTCACTTTCACTTCTCAGCTTAAAATAAAAAGCACAAAATTTTGTATTTTTTAATGTTCAATTTTTTGTGTCAAAATCCACGACAAAAGATTTGAAATAAAACTCGTTGTATTAGCGATTCCAATCTCAGTTCAAATTCTAAGCCAGTCTCGACAAGATGCTTAGGTCGGTCACCGTTAGAGTATTGAGATTCTGGCGCTTTTCGCTCCATACTTTTTTTTTACTGTTTTTAGTGTTTCAATTTTCGATATTCTTTTGCGGTGCGCGAACTTCACCAAATTTGAAAGTTCGGTTAGAGCATGGCGGAGTGCTTGTTGGACGGCATCTGACAGCTCATAGCGGTCAACCTATGCGAGCGTTTTTGGGTGTTCCATACGCCAAGCCACCAGTTGGAGAACTACGCTTCAGAGTTTGTTACATAACATTAATATTTATAATTTCACTATTTCAAAGGTTAAACTATAAAATAAATTAAAGTCATATAGGAAATTATTTGAACCTTGGACGAAGAATAGTAGAGTCGCTATTTTTAAAGAATAATTACAAACGATTGATTTCACAAATTTAAATAAAAAATATCTACAAAGATAAATTAAGCAATGATTTTGAAACAGTCATAATCGAGATAGGCCCACCAAAGCATTTTTAACTTAAAATATACTGTATTTAAGTTTATTGGCATTAATTCCAACGAAACTTGTCTTCTACGTAGATTTTATTTAAAATTTATTTAAAGTATAAAATTAAAAAATATTTGAGTCGAAACTTGTTCTGTGTTGTTTTCTTTTTAAATTCTTTTAACAATTCTTTTCAAATATTTTCAGTAGTGACTCAAACTTAACGTTCATTTTATTTCACAGTCCCCAGTGCCATTCGGAGCTTGGACAGGTGAACGACAAGCCATATCAGATTCATCAAAATGCACACAAAGAGACCCTTACCGACGTGACCTTGAAATCGAAGGCAGTGAGGACTGTCTCTACATAAATGTCTACACGCCTGAGGTTTGTTTACGTTTGTTGATATTATGGAATCATTTCCTATTTTCGCCAACTGATTTTATTGTAAGGTACCTGCAACGAAAAATCCTTTACCGGTAATGGTTTGGTTCCATGGCGGAGGTTGGCAGTGCGGATCCGGTATAAGCAGCTTTTATGGACCAGATTTCTTAATGGAACATGATATTATATTAATTTCTGCCAATTTCCGACTGGGACCACTTGGATTTCTCAGTACAGAAACTATAGAATGTCCAGGAAATTTCGGTCTAAAAGATCAGCTTGAAGTGCTTAAATGGATTCAGGAAAATATAGCAGCATTTGGTGGAGATAAGAACAGCGTAACGATATTTGGTGAAAGTGCAGGTGGAGCGAGTGTTACCTACCACATGCTTTCCGAAAAATCTAAAGGTAATATTGTAATTCATATTTCTATGCATGCAATTACACTTACCTTAAAATTGTAGGACTCTTCCATAAAGGTATTATTCAATCTGGTACATATTTCAATCCATGGGCACAGCCTGCACATAAAGGAGTACCAGCTAGAAGAGCACAGAAACTAGCTAAATTAGTTAATTGTAATGCCGATCAAGATTGGACAAGTATTTTACAATGTCTTCGTCAACGTAAAGCCGAGGACATTGTTGCCACTATTTATGATCTCTTTGTAAGTCAATCACAATCATTTATATATACGTAAGCTAATATTTATTACTTTCAATAAAGGAATGGGACTACGATCCAATGATTCCATTTCCACCAGTCATTGAACCAAATCATAAAGATGCTTTTCTAACTGTATCGCCAAGATCAAAACAAATTCCTCATGGCTTCAGTCTTCCAGCAATGATAGGTGCCACCTCTGAAGAAGGTTTGTTAAAAACTGCAGCTTTACTTAATGAGCCTGGATTATTAGATGATTTTAAAACTAAATTCAATAAAGTACTACCTATTGTCCTAAACTATGATCACCACTCAGATGAAATTCAAAAATATATAACTGAACGTATTAAAAGTTTTTATTTTAAAAACGGCCACGACTATAACAAATATAATTATCAAAATATTACAGATGCAAGTAAAAGAAAATATAGTAAAAATTTTAGAATAATTTTTTCTTCTATTTAGCTTATATCAGATGGTTGGTTTATAGGTGGAATCGATGAATATATGCGAATTCGCATGAATAGTTTGACAACAGGCAATAGTAATGTAGGACCTACTTATGTCTACCTTTTTGATCATAAGGGAGCCGCGAGTTTTTCTGAGCTATTTAAAGGAGGACGAGAAGATTATTATGGTGATTATTTAATTTTTTAAAACAATTCCTCTGCATTTATATGTACCGTTTATTTGATCAGCATTTGATCAGCAAAATATTAAATTAAATTTTAAAACTTTGTTTATTACAGGTGCCTGCCATGCAGAAGAATTACAATATCTCTTTCCAATCGGTCGTGAATTATTCATCAGTGCTTCACCAACACCGTTTGACTTGGAAATACGAAATGCTATGACAAATATGTGGGTTAATTTCGCTAAAACGAGGTAAATATGAAAAATTACGTTTTATATTTTGTTTTCAAAATATAAAGAGTTATTCTTGATTTTTATATTCTTAAGGCAAAAACAACAGTTATTTTTGCGTTTTAAAATAAAAAGCAGAATGTAAGAGTTATTTGTGCGTGAAAAAATAAAAGGTACAAAATAATAATTATTTTTATAATAATTTTTATTTTTGATAAATATAGTAGAGGTATTCAGGCAACTGATTAGTTGCTTAGTAGTTGATTACAACAAAAATTTGCACACAAACATGAAACTAAGCAGGGAATCAAATATTTCGGTGTTTCCCAGATTAGTACAAATTTGATTAATAGTGCTGCCAGTCCCAAGTGTCGTAATAATAACTTAAAATGAACTTTTGTATAGAAATTTGTTAGCTATCTCTCTCAGCTGTTTGAATTGTGTGTAAACAATTTTCACTGTTAACGTATGTTTCGCTTTTGCTGTTGATGCGAGTGCTGCCAAGGCATTTACACACAACAAACTAATCAGATTACGCATTTTGGGTCGTTAAGCAACTGATTAACATCAAAATGCTAAATTTTCTTTATATGAAGTTTTTGAATCAACTAAGCAACTAATCAGTTGCCTGAATACCCCTAGTATTAAGCAAATTTAATTATTATTTTTTGTTTTATTTTAAAACGCTTATATAAAAAGCATGCATAATATTAAGGATGAAAGTTGTATGATAACTACATACTTAACAATAAGTTTAGACAACTTTTTGTTGCTTCTTTCCTTTCAAAAATTTTTGCAATAACTGTTAATTTCGCTCTTTGCATAATAGAACTAAGTTTCTATATGAAATCATGGCATGTAATCAACATCACTCAAAAAGCAGATAGCCTGAATAATTATTTTTCTAATTTTAATTTTATTGGTTATTGAAATAATAAGCCATAAACTGTTTAAATAATACTTTAGTTCCTTTTAACTATTGACCATAGTTGTAGAAACCAAAAAACGATTTGTAGAAACATTCACTTTTGATCTCAAACCAACGAGCTATAAAAAATTTATTTTCTTTAATTAAAATGTAAAAATCAAAAGCAGCGGTAGGCACAGAAATCAGCCAAAACAGAAGAAACAAGATTAGCATCAAACACTATATCATATCTGCAATTAAAAATCGAAATTGATATTTGCTATTGATGCCATTATCATTTTCAGAGCCAAGTGTCTGTAAGCATGGCTTCGCATATTGCATATCATAGCTCTACAGCCTACGTACGTAAGTAATCTTTTATGTGCTTATTCATATTCAATGCATCACAATTGCGAATCGTAGGATGTCGAATAATAAATGTCATGCAACGCGGATCGCTGTTTCGGGATTGTTGTATTAAAGTTTACAAATTAAACTTTATATTCAAATAAACCAATTAACGCACTGAGTTATATGAGCAATTTAAGCCTTAAGCCTTTAGATAAATTAGCATTCTTGAATGTTACTAGGCTGACATATAGAAATTTTGAAAAATTAATATAATATTAATATAATAATAATACATTTATGAAAATATTATAATTGAAATTTTACGTGGGTTATGACGGTAGTGACTATTTTACTTAATAGAAACTATTGTATTTAATAGAAAAGTTTCGAAAAGTAGTGAACTGCAACTACAAAAATTTTAATTAATTGAATTTTTAGCTGACCATACAGCTATTTCGAGTTTCTGATTTAACACAGCAAGTGAATTTGTTGACGAACTTTCACAGCAAATTAACAAATAAAAACTTCAAGTTCGAACATACAAGTCAAGTACGACTTTAGATCAATTGGCTAAAGAACGGTGACTGAGCTTCAAATTTGGCAGCGTTCGAGTTCAACCCTTGGTACTTGCAGTTTCAAAAAATTATGTACGAATAATTAAATATAAAAAATAATTCCAAGACCACTGATGATAGGTATTTGGCAATACTCGAAATAGATGTGTGGTCAGCCGAAAATTAATTTAATTACAATAATATAAAAAGTTGTTTTGTTGTTGTAGTTCACTGCACTCTCACATCGATTTTGAGAGATAAATATTTTATCAATATTTGCGAATGTATTATTAACTTTAAAAATAATTGAAATCCATATTAAATTTTACTTTAAAAAACATATATTTTTTTCAGCAACCCCACGCCAAATGAATCCAATATCACTAATTGGGATATTGCGAACAAGTATCCAGTGAATTTTATCCGTATAGGTGGAAAAGATGAAAAACATTGGACTTTAACAACAAAAGAAGAAGGTTTACTGCAAGATCGTTCAGACTTTTGGTATCAGCTTAAAGCTCACTGGGCAGCAGATCTAAGCAAAAAAGATGAATTATAACAATTCTTATTAAAGAACTTTAAGAAATTAAAAAATTTCTGCGGACAATAACTTTTACATATTCGTACTTTTGGCCTACATATATCTTAAAGTATATATAATCCAATCACTTTTTTTTGCACGTCGTCAGTTTGGTAATATATTTCTTAAAACAAGTTAAAAATTACTTTTCATTTGTTTTTTTATTCTTTTAACGTTGTATTAGTAAAATATTAACTAACAATAGCTTTAAAAATAATAACAAAATATAAACTTTGTTTTTATATGTATATATAAATAAATAAATAAATTATTAATTAATCAACAAATAAATTTAGTGCTAAATTATAGCATATCAAATATGGGTAGTCTAAAAAATTAACATACATTTTAATTATTTTTAATTATATAAGTTCATTGTTTTATATTAAAGTTAGCCAATTGAGGAACAATCTACGTAAAAACTCAAGTTTTGAAAGAATAGATTTGTTAGTTATTGAAAGAAAACCGTGCTGACGTTGTCACTGCAAAAATATATATTTCAAAAAACTTTTGAAATATAAGTATATAAATTTATTATGTTGAGTCGGTTGCATAATTCACAAATTTTTATCTCTCCAACCAACATTTTTTATTTTATGAAAACAATTTATTATTTGTGACACTTAATTATTTGATTAGTAATAAATTAGTTTATATGATAGATAATTGCATTATGTATTTTATAAATATATATTGGGACTAGTTTCACACATTTGCAAACAATGTTTTTTTATTGATTGTATCCATCAATTCATTTTTTCGTTACTTATAGTTTAGATTCTTTCAACACCATTTTATACATATTTGGTACATTTAAAAGTATGCATTAAAAGAAACAACATTTACACAATATAAGTTTGTTAGTATATATCATATTTTCCAATTTTTTTTTAAACAAATCTGGACATTTTTAATTCCTGACTACAAAATATAATTTAATTTGTAAAAATTAGATCTTTGGATCCAAAAATTGCACACCTGATTTAAAAAATTTTAATTTCCTATTTTTTTCTGCATATTTGGTAGTAAAAAAAACATAATTGAATCATTTTTACTGATGACGAGAGTAAGATTTCAAACTGCTTATACCCTTTCATAGAACAAAATGTAGGCACTAGATGAAGTAAGATGTGATTCTGGCAACGCATCGCTCACCCTGTAAAAAGTAATATTTGAATTTAGCGCTTTATTTAATATCTTTCGAACTTACACATTGTCATTGAATTCATGCCATTTTTTAGTTACTGGATGTTTGCATAAAGCAACATAATGACCCCCAGCCGTTGATCCTTTGTAAAAATAAAAAAAACGCATTTTATTATAATAAAAATAATTAATACCACATTACACTAGTCATATAAATTTTATAAATATTGTACAAATATACTTCAACGTTCTTCAGAAATTACAGTAAATTAGTATTTATTTATTTACTCACCCATATGATTTGAAATAGCATATAATGAGTAGTTGATGCTATTACTTTTATTTGAAGCATATGGTCCCATATTTAATTCTCTTTCACTAGTCGGAAATTCTACAATGTTAGATAACTTACTCCAACGCGTTTCAGAAAACCGTTTCAAATCTATTTAAATTAAGTTCATTTTAAGCATATATTTTTATTTTATAATATGTTAATATTTGTTGTTACTTACGGATAACCAAGTATTTAGGAAATCTTTGAATGGTAAAACTTTTGGTACATTTTCGTCTAGTTTTACATTTAGAACAAGTTGGCATCTCATCACCATCCAAGACTTCCTCGCGAATAAATAAGTCTAGGCATGCATCTAATTTGCAGCGCGAAGAAGATGGCAGAGGTACACTTAAATCCCAAAATGGATCGAATGTTACACTGGCATTATTACATATTGTGCATTTGAGTGTACTTTTTAGTTGTCCGACAAAAAGATCGCGAATCAGAGAATTTTCTTGTCGAGTATACCACTCCCAAGTTAGGTCAGCTTTCTTATTGTCTCTATAATTAGTGCAAACATTTTGTGTTGCTTTTATAAATCAAATTCGATAGTATCTTACGTTAAATTTTCGTCAATTTTCAGACTTCCTGCTTTCATTCCACTATTGAGAGCACAATGTAGCGAATCTAGAAAAAATCTCAAAAATTCTTGAGCGTCTTGTTGATTATAATCACTGTACATTCTATGTTTTGCTGAAAATGCTCGCTTTAATTCCATTGGCGTAACACTTCTGGTTCCATTTGACCACATATCTCTTATTAATCTAGCAAACTCTGTAATATTTTTATTATAACATATATTATTATTATAATTTTTAATATCAATTTTTTAAACTTACCATGAAGTATTTGCTGATCTTTGGACGGCGAAGATCTAACTGCATTATGGCTTCTCAAAAATTTTGTTAATTCGCTCGTATGGCTTAGACATTGAATAACTGAATTCATAAAGCATGTATTTCCAATATTTTTTAGACCGCATAGACCTTGATCAAAAGAAAATGACATCCAAATATACAATAATTTAATACTCTTTGAGGCATTAAACAAATTCACAAAATTTGACATAAAATCAATTACTATTAACCACTTGGGCAATAATATCAAATCTTCAAATTTCATCCAAAATAAATGTTTTTATTTAAATTCCTTAATTTCAATAAAAAAATTATTATATTAATATAAATTGTATATCGTGACAGATATAACAATTTTTATATTTAAAATTTTAACTTAATTTTGGTTTTTATTCTATATTTATTTATATACATTCTATCTTATAAATAAATACAGTTTCAAGATAATTTCATAGCCGACTAAAAATTTTTTTTAATAGTTACGATGATTTATAAATCTTTTGAATTCAAAACTATCCAAATACCGGGAATTACATTTCAATTGCTTATAAATTATTTGGCAGATACATAGCTTGCACCATGTCTAAAAGGTGCATGACTAATAATGTTTAATAACAGATATTTTTCAGCTTACCCTCTGATTTTTCCTCACCAGATATCTTACCAGATATCGCATCATCATTGTTGCTATGAATAGAGGTATATGCAGACGTCCTACCTGTCTCACGATCTAAATAACGAGATGCCGAAGGAGATGATGGCGGAAGGGCACTCCGAATAGATGAACTCCGAATCTGTTATTATAATAAAATTATTATTACAAGAACTCATATCAATTTTTAATTAAATTAATTGAATTATTAGTTTAATAAGCAAACGAAACACATGCAAACACAGAAAAAACAATATAACGCGGAACAAATAAATAATACGAGTATGTGTAAAAATGCCCTGAATTCTAAATTGATAAATACATATGTGACACAAAAATATATAACTAATAAATAAGGAGATAGGCTAATCTATTTAAACCTGTGCTAAAGGCTTCAAAAGGATGCGCGTTTTAAAGTAATTCTTATAGTTGAATTGATGTGAAGTGGATTGTAGTGTAGAAATTGAAGGAAAGAAAAGAATTAACTTACGCTGTCATCAGATTCGATCAAACTGCTTATCGAGTTCAATTTTTTTGTCTCATGCAATGAAGTGCCATTGGTATTTTCCTGCCTGCTAGAAGCTGAACTCGAAGCTGAAGATGAATTATCTTTTGCATCTCTTGAATATGGCGATAAAGGTGATGAGCGATTTAGCAATTCGTGGTTTTTGCTTTTCGATGGTAAGCTACTTGTGTTACTCCCACTGTTCGTACTGGTATTGAGCAAAGCACGAGTTGTTGAATATAACGCAATTGATGGTGTTGGATGCGTGCTCGTATTTAGTTTTCCATTAGTCGCTGTTACGGCAGGCGTAGCTACATTAGTAGAAGTACGATAATTGGCTCGTGTTAGTGACCCTCCACCACTGTTACTACCAAGTTGTAAGTTACAGTTGTCAAAATCACTACTATGACGATGCTGCAAATTACTTGTACTTCCACTGCCACCATGAGATCGCAATTGTACCGAATTGAAAGGCAGACGCTTTTGATCATTTAAGCTGTTAAATTTGTCTATCGAGGCTTTAATGCTATGCGAATCAATACCACTTCGACGTATATCACTGATGCAATCAGTGCTTCCAATTGCGGATCCCTTACATATCGACGAGCAATTTCTTTGTGCATTAACTACACTGCCATTGGCATATTTATAATTGTTTACTTTCTCGAACACGTGGTTCGTGGCAGAGCATATTATAGTCGACTTTGGGCGAATTCGTGTCTTTGATGCATCAGCTCCCGCATGCGGATTTGCTGATTTTTGTGTACAACAATTTTGATCACAAATTTCACGTTTACGTTCTTGAACGACTGTTGTTGGTTCATCACTGTCAATATATTTAATATCGTCGTGATCTGAGGATAATTTATAACTTGTTTGCATGTTGTTATTTGTATTGCTTCCGTTTATTGTGCTGCTACCGCTACTATTGTTATTGACCCTGTTTGTAAAAGAAACGTTGTTTTGTGCCGCCGCCAATCTCGCAGCTGCAGCAACAGCAGTTATTGTTGTTGTTGGTATAGTTCTATGAACTAAAGGTTTTATCTGCCTGTTACTAGTTTTTGAACTTCCAAGGCCAGTCGATGTACATGTAACTGAATTTCCAACTCCAGCTGTTGTTTTCGCAGACGTAGGTAATGCTTTAACCTTAAATTCGAGATCAACTTTGTGAACATTGACTGCGGTTGCAGTTGTTCCAATTTGCTCAACATTGACACTTCGACGCATTCCATTAAGTGCTGAAGAAGAATCTGTTGCAGTATTTGCAATTGTTTTAATTCGCTTTTTAATTTCTTCAGATGGAGATGTAGATTTTGTCAATGATACTGATCTGCAATTAATATTATTACAACTCTTTAATTGAGTAGTAATTATATTATTATTTTTATTATCTGGACCAGAACCAACTCTACCCGATGTATTTTGACTTTGATTTCTTGATTTCAACTGTGGTTTATACACTTGCGCATGAGCAATTTTACATTCCTCCTTTAAAAAGTTTTTATCTTTATATTCTGAGACTAGGAAGAACTGTTGATTGGCTTCTCGAACTGGATTTGTGGGTGTACGAAAATTATCAATTATATTTCGATTTAATTTTTTTTCTTCCTCTGCAGATAGTCTATTTAACTTAGAACCAATTATTGGATTTTTATTTGAACTACTTGTCTTTAACGAAGAGGTATAATAATCACATTTTGATTTCAATATTGGTAATTTTTGAAAATTATTTCTTCCTTTATTCACGTCTATCATTATTTTTCTATATATATCGTCTTCGCTTTCTCCTTTCCCCTCTTCTCCCTCTTTCTTTTTTATGAAAATGTAGTTGCGTTAATAAAATTGTATTTACAAAGATTAAAACATTACTTTCTATGGCAAATGCTTTGAGTATTAATTTAAGTTAGAACATTAAAATAATTGCATAAACAGTTATTTTAGAGCCAAGATCTGCAAATGATTATCTATAAAAATACATTAAAAGAAATATAATTATATGAGAGTGCAATTGTTAACAGGTAATGGTAAGGTTTAAAGATTTAAATGTAATGTTTACCACAAAAGATCTAATTTTTACTGCAATTTGGAATTATTTCTTATTACTTCTAATAAAATTACAATAGTTAATATTTTTTTTTCATATTCAATGAATAACAAACATAAGAAAACATAATTTTATTTAGAAAGTAAACCTTGAAATATCAATCTATATGCGTCAAATTATTAAACGAATTCTTCAAAGAATCAAAGGATTTTGAAAATTTGAAAAGCGTTTAGAAAGCGAAAGCAACTTAGTCTTCTAGAGATGTCAACTCTGTTTAATTTCAGTTTTGATCACGTCCATCGTTTGATCGATTCACTTCCTTTTTGTTACACTAACTTTTCAGTTACAAATTTATTTTTTTTTTTTGAAGATATTGTAAGCATATCACATATTATTTTAAATTTATTAGTTGTCAAATAAAAAAATTTTTTTTTTTCCATGCACATTCGATTGATACTACTATATAGTTATTTACTCATTTCATCTTTTAAGCTGTTAGGTGAGGTGAGGAGAGCATATAAAAAATTTCGATGTTAGTCTTAAAATATACATATTTTATTAATTCTAAAACTGTTGTAGTAATTCATTGGCATTAACAGTTTATATTTGGCAAATACTTTTATAAATGGCTTTTGGATATTAGGCGTTGTTAGTATATCTTGCCTGGAGGATTGCAACCTGAAGCAATTCGAAAAATGTATGCTTTTGGAATTTTTGCCTTAAACAATTGCATGCTACTACAATACATTGGAGTTAAAAGAGCTGGTTTTTATTTTGTATGGTTAAGAACTTAAGCAACAAATCAAAGAAAACATGTCTGCCTTTTACAGTTATGCAGTCAGACGCAATTTGTCTATTACCTTGCTACTCTTTTTTGTACCAGCCGTATCTGAATTAGGCGGAGCAACCTCATCAATCTGGTTACCATTTGCACTCTTTGCTAGATTTAATTCATTGTCTTCTATTTCTTCATTGTCTGATTTCATTTTGGTCTTACAGTTCACTACAAAATCTTCATCGACAGCATTTTCAGCTTTTGACATTTTTAAATCATTTAACTTAATATTAACAGTTTCTACACTCTCCGTACTGATACCACTCGGCTTGGTATAACTGTGCTCTACTTGGCCATTTTTTGGAATATCACTGTCATTATTTGGTTTTGCTTTGTGCATGCGGTTGCTGCGAAGTGTAAATGTAGCGATCGGTATATCACTGTCACTGTCATTGATAGCATTGATAGCAGACGCTGATGAAGAGTTAAGTAGTTTAGTAGACAATTTGCGTCTCGTTTTATACCTATTTACGTCATCTGTTGTGTCAATATCGTTGGGAGAATCTCCACTGCTATATAATCGATTGTATCGGCTATTATGTTTATTGGTGTTAGTAATTTGGGTAGTTAATCTATTCTCAGAGTCTTCCGGTACCGTTATACCAGTTTCACCAACTGCTGATCTAGAACGTGACAGTTCACATGGCGGTTTATAATGTGCAGGACTGTACTTTTCATATAAGTCCAAACCAGAAGTTGCAACTAAACGTGCTAAGGATGAAGATGAATATGAACCTGAAAAGCGTTTACTCTGCGAAGTACTATCTACACCTGAAGGTGGTTTTTTCGTTTCATTGTTGTTCGCATCTTTTTTCAAGGTATCAGAAACTTTTGTCTTTTTATTGAACTGTTATGTATAAATTATTAAAAATTTTTGATGATGATATGTTGTTGTTTCAGTTGATTTTGTTGTAATTGTTGTTCGTTTAATATATGAATCACATTTATAGATGTTAAAATTCCCAATATGAATTATGTTGATGACAGATTTGAAATCAATGCCGATGAAAATGTCAAATAGATATACATTTTTTTGTGTTTATAATAATGAATAAAAATAATTAAGAGAAAAATATTATTTTGTTAAAAACTAAATTATAAAAAAATAAAGCTATATATGCATTTCATTCAGTTTTATCGTTTATCAAAGATCGCTACTCTTAATTTTCATAATGAATGTAAAAATGACATGTAAATGAGTAATTTATGGACCCTCATATATTGAGTAGTCCTCATATATTTCCGATTTCGACCAATTTGAAAAGAATTTTAGAATTCATTTTAGTTATCGTATAAATTATAGAAATGAACTATGACAGCAATCTTTCGTAAAATGTTCAAGTGCACATAATATAAAAGCAATTGCAAAATTCTCGTCGACACATAAAGTCGATATTGAATTTATGTCCATACCGAATGATTTCGATGATTTCCTTTAACTTTGCAGGTTATATTAGTATTTACTTAGCAAGATTCAATTAATTTTTGGATTTCATTTTTTGTCTAGCACAAAAACTAAAATTAAATGTATTGAATGCGTTAATTTATTCGAAATATACAGCATTCTGTCATTTGAGGTATTCTTTACATTCTCAGATTAATTGTACAGATCTCTGCACTACTAAAAATAATTAAAAACCAAATGTAAAATAATACCAAACACAATGCAAATAAACGCATGAGCAGAAATCAGTAATCAGTACTCAGTTCATTTTCAATATTGTTTTCCATTCTATAGCCAAGCACACTAAATAATAGTTTACTCACTCCATATCGACTGGATGTAGTTGTATCATTATGACTTGTTCCCAAATATGAAGAATTGCGATAACTGCCTAATGTTGAACCTCCCGATAAATTGTACGATGAGGAAGAACTTCGTTGTGTTGTTCGTGGTGAATAAGAATATGAATTTAAATTGTAACTGGGGCTATATGTGGAATATGATGATCCTGTTCCTGTTCCAGTTCCTTTTGAAAGGCTACTAGCACGATTGAAGTTGTAACTACTTGAACTGTAACTACTTGAACTGTAATTACTAGAGCCAACTGAAGAGTTACCACTAGTTGAAGATAATGTCCCGTATAAGCTACTGCCAGCTGAAGACGATGACCTCCTTGGTGAAATCACAGGCATATTAAAAAGCAGTCGCCTATATGACTGCGAAAGTTTTGTAATCCTTTACTTAAGCTTAAAAAAACAAAAAAACAAAAACCATTAGTGAGTTGAGTATTTTATAAAAGACAAATTTATTCTGTGCAAATAGCTCTCAAATTATTTAGAATGGGGTTTTAAAGCAAGACTTTAAAAATATGTATACATATGTACATGTTAAAATATACTAAGCATATAAAATTGCTCTAACAGATGACTGCTGATAGCTATAAAAGACTTCAATCATTTTCGATTCTTCAAAAAATTTTTTTTTTAGTGTTACCGAAAGGTTCGTTTTCTTATAATGATAAAGAAGCTATTTTTTTTTTAATTTAAAGGATTTTCGAATAGCAAAGAAAGAAGGGACAAACACAAAAATTTGGTTAATTTTTTGAAATTTGGCTGACCATACAACGCTGTTTCGAGTAATGCCAAGTACTCATCATCAGTGGTCTTAGGATATAATCGAATTTTTAATTAGTTTATAGTCCGTATATAACTTGTTTGGACTGCAAGTGCCAGGCTTAAAACTCGTCCCTGTCAAATTAGAAGCGATGACTACTCGTGTTTATCCACAAGTATCCAAGGCTGTACAAACTTTCAATACTCAAGTTCCAGGTTTTAGTCACTTTTTATTCTTTAAAAATTTTTATTCGATTTTTTTTCAATCAATACTTACAGGCTTAAACGAATCTTATTTTTCTCCTTTCTTAAATATTTATTTCCTAATCTATTCTCCGTTAAAGCACAAGGCTGAAAATTGGAAGATGAAACTATATATGATACAAGACTCTAGTCGTTCAGAAATATAATAATTCTGGATATACAATCCTTTAATCGCAGTAACAATCTTTCAAGCCTTTCCAACTTCATATATGTTTTTAATTTGGGTGTGAATATAAATATTTCAAAAATCCATGGTCAGCCAGGCAGGCACTGTATCTTGTAAATATTCAAGGTGTAAATTGACAACAAAAATTGGCAACCAAAACGGTCGCAGAGGTTGATTTTCACTCGTCATGCAAAATTATTAACTCATTATAATTAAAAAACTTATGGCACGATATAAATTGAGTAATATTTATTCTCAATTATAAAATAAAAAATAACGAATTAAACTGTATTGATTAATAAAAAATATTTAAACAATATCTAAAAGGCGTCATCATCAACTTAAAAAAATCTATTTTTAAAAAAAGCTGCAAAGGCGAACCACACGAATTACGCAAAAAAGGAAAATATGCTCAAAATGGAAAGTGAAAAATAGTTTCAAAAACTGCTTTTGAAGGTTATGAGAATCATTTTCAAAACCAGATAAATTCGCTGAAACTTTTATTAGATTATTAGACCGTTTAAGTAATATAGATTCCACTCACTTCAATTTCTTCAATTAGCTTTCATTTATTTTATTTCACTAATATTTTTCGTATTCGAGTCGTTCATATCAATCGCACTGAAAAATACATTTGTCAATAACAGCCTTGCTAGTAATGAGAACGCAACAACAAGGTGCAGAAGAAATGAAAGTTCTTGGTGTTGCCATATTACTATAATTCAATGTGATAATAAGTGGTGAATATAATTATAAAATTTATTAAAAAATTTTCTAATATATATTTATAATCGACATTTGAAACAATACAACTAAATGTTCTACCACCAGTTTTACAAACAGTGATTACGGTGTTTCCTGAGTCTTACCTCAGATTTTCACAGTTAAGAACCCCCTTTAACATATAAGACCGTTTCAAACAAGATATAATAAGTCTGTGTCACGAGCATCTCGAAGTAACTTTGAATAACAATGTGTATATACAAATGCGTTCCACCAACAAATTTTCGAGTAAATGAGAACATCTGAGAGAGCGTAACATCCCTGTCGAAAATTGATAATGCTACACAGACTTTACTCGTACATTTTATTTCAAGTGAAATTTGTGTTGATGTGTGAATCAGCTGTTTTGGTTTGAATTTAAATTTTTGTATTGTTTATTTGCGAAATACTGGTGTCCCCGCCAGACTTTACACAAATTTGTTCCTGTTAAAAAACTGTGTATAAAGCGTAATTTGGCATTTTATTTGTTCACGCTCTCAGTTTGTACTTTACTTGTGTTTTATTTGAGTTTTACTACGAGTAACTCGTGGAACAAACCTAATATGTAGTTAATTAATAGTAATTAATAGTTTTTCAAAAACTACTTCTTAAATAAGTCTCTGTATATGCCCAATTTTCTTACTTTTCTGTTGCAGTAATTTATAATGCATTCATTATTGTTGAAGATTCCCGGTCATAGGGTTAAAAGATTTCATAGATAGCAATCAAAACAATATCAAAATATTAAATATTTACACACTCTTTTTTTTTAGCATTTCGTGTTAAGTGCTTTGAATACACATCTTTGTCTATGGTTTTCCAATTCATCAACTGTACAGAGAAGCTCATTATTGGCATTCCAAATTACTAATTGCACGTTTGATGCACTACATGAGGGCTCATTAAATAGTGTAAGGTCCAATACTACAAGCTTAAATGTAGAGTAACAACTACACACAAATGTAGTTCCCTCTTCGAGACCACAGTTGGATTACAACAAAGTTCTTAACAAGCCTTTCTCAACAGAAATGTCTCCAAGAAAGAGCGACTGTTTACATGTCCTAATTTATACAGCAATTTAAGTCCAGTTGATCTTTGACAGGTACAATTGAAGTGGCTAAGCTTTTCTGCCTCGACAAAGATAAGTTTCAATTAAAATCCCACCCATCTATTTTGCGCTCATATTCTTAAAGAATCTTCTTCTCTTTTACATTTATTGCCTTTCATTATTTTTTCGGGCTACAACAACAACATTCTTTATACTTTCTCCATACAAGCTCCGACAACTCTGGTCTCCTTATTACCCTGAGTTGGTGTACTGACACATCGCTAAACTTATATCCAGGTTCATACAGAGGCTGCCACGATAACCTACATAAACTTCAAATAGCAGAACTGGATCCTGCGACAACTGTGACTTATGCAATATATTTCCATTCTATAATTTCATTTAAGCGGAGAAGAAAGCGCCCAAACTCGTAGATCGAACAACTCAATCCTCATACAATTATCCTCTTAGTGATATCTTCAAAATGAAAAAGGGTCATGATCGTAAAATATGGTTGAATCACTTAGATATCATAAAGTGATAGATTTTAAACTACCATGAAAGGTGTTTCTAACTCTTATGATCCCAATTAAAGGCGATCAAATGCTATGAAACTATAATCAATCGTTTTCAATAGGTGGTCATTAAGATCAATAGTATATAATAAATATATATATACAAACAATAGTTTGTACCTATATATGCACATTCTAAGGCATAACCATCTCAAGTTTCAAGTTTGTTTACAAAGAATTTCTTGTATAATATCGTTAAACAGTCTTAAAACTAATAGAATTAAAAAATGTCTATATGATAGTGTTTATGTTTTATACACGTAATATATATTTATAAATAAAATGCAACATATGTTGATCAAAATTATTTCATACATTATATTGTTTAAATAAGGAATATATTTCAATGATAAATTCATTAGGAAGGCTCTTCAAAGGTTATAGTAATCAACAAACTCTACAGTGCGTCGGTAGCATATGGGATTCAATCTAACCGGCTTCCATTTTTTCTACAATTTAAAAAAGCAAAAGGAAGAAGTAATATAAAATTATAAAATAATAGCGTGACACATAAATATAAAACAAAGATAATAAAAAATGCTAAAATTACATCATTTTAGACAACACAAAAAGCTAAGTAAAGCGAATGCCAGAAGGAAATTATTATGCAAAGCGTACTGTATAAGATTTGGAATGTTTTGTTTAATACACGAGGTTCGAAAACACATATATAAAGACTTTAAACTTAAAGCTAATATTAACAGTCAAATAAAAAGAATAAATGAACTAAACTGTTGAACTTGGCAGGGGTGGCGTAGGAGGAATGACATTGGGAATTGCTACAACACATGCGCCAGCGCGACTGTATGTCAGAGGTGCAGCTTGAGTCCATTCATTTGTTTCATCGTCGTACTCTTCAACAGTTTTTAGATATTGATGACCATCGTATCCACCTACAGCCATTAAACGATCACCTAATAAAGTACAACCAATTGCATCACGGCCAATGCTCAAAGAGCAAATCTACAAATAAATCTAGTTAAAAGGGACTTATAAAAAAAAAACAATATGTGTTTTATTAAATTTAAAAGGTCATACCAAAGTCCAAGTGTCCGTCGCTGGGTCATATCGTTCCACTGTTTCTGTACGACATACTGATGGATTACTCGCTGGACAATCGTGACCACCTAATGCATATAAATAACCATTGCTAATGGCGACCTAAAAACTTTTATTAAATAGGGATTCAAAAATTATTTTCTTTTAATTACTCCAACTCCTCCACGCCTTTTATTCATTGGTGTTCGAGGTGTCCATTTATTTGTATGTGGATCATAACACTCAATTGAACGATGGCATGCAGTGCCATCTCGACCTCCAACAACATATAGACGACCTCCTAAAACCGTTACACCAGCTGTTGAGCGCATTGCAGACATAGAAGCAACTGAATTCCAAGTTCGTGCCACGGGATCCCATCTGCAAATTATTTATAATTTCAAATAATTACCATTTCGAAATATCATTAATTACCTTTCAACTGTATTTAAATAGCTCCATCCATCATGTCCACCTACAGCATACAAGGGTCCTTCCAATACAGCTACACCCAAACCATGTCGGTGAGTGCCCATTGGATTCAAAGTCGTCCAAGCCATAGTGTTTAAATCTAGGCTTTCACAAGTGTTTAATGTCTTTAACCCATCTCTTCCGCCTACAATTATTAACTTATCATCCATTACAGCAACGCCAAATTGAAGTCGGCGCGCAGACATGTTTTTCCAAACAGTCCACTTATTCAAGCGAGGACAGTAGCTTTCAATTCCAATCGCACCCTAAATTTCATCAACTTATTAGATAAACTGTTCAAAAATTCAAGCTTACTTACCTTATGTGCATCCATACCACCAACCGCAAGCAAACGTCCAACAGTTGATTTTCTCGGTTTTGTGCGTTTCGATGCTATGAGTGATCGTCTCTCGGGCAGAAGATGCCACTTCAACGCTTCCATAATAAGTTGCTGACAATCATTTGATCCACAAACCGCTTCCACATTGTCCGCAATAAAAGATGGTTGCAGTAGAGGCAATCGGACCAAAGCAAGCAATTCCGGAATGTGTTGTTCACGGTTCTTTGCGTCGTGCTGTATCCAGGACATTAGACTGTAAAAGACATCTTGTTCCGAAAGTACATTCAAATCATCACTCGAAATCAGTTGTCCTAGTTGACTGGCGTTTAGTTGAAAAAACTCTTGATTCTTACAAACCTAAATAGTGAAATCAATTATTAGTTATCATATTAGATTTTTAATATTAAAGGTATATCTCTTAACCTGCATGAAATTTTGGCACGTATAGGCCTGTGCTAACCGTAACAAAGTCTTACAACTTTGCTGCTCTGCAAAAAATGCAAAACCCAAGCAGTTGGAAGGATGGAGCTGGCGAGCCAAAAAATTACAACAAGCAGCAACTACATCGTTCAACTGCAGAAGGCAAGCTGTAGCTAGAAGCGTCTCAACAGAATCCTCACGCAATTCTATCACGCCTGTGTAACAGTACTGCACCAGAATCTGCAGTGCTTCTCCTTGAACTTCACCTAAAGTAACTTCATTTTCTTTTGTTTCACGCAAAGAACCCGTAAACATAGCAGAAAAATATGCACTCGACGCGGATAACACAATACGATGCGCAGGAACTCTAACCAAAGTGGAGAAGAAATGTTTAAAAATATTTTAATTATCTTTGATGTACTGCAGTTCCATTCATTCGGTAAGTCAATGTTGTCAATTAGTTTTGTGTTTTGAATCATTCTAATATCATTATAGATGAAAAATAAACAAACAAATTATCATTGTTGACACTCTCTTTCTACTTCTTACAACGGTTCTGCAATGTTTTCAATTCTCTTTCAAATACAACTTTTAATAACAAAACATTTTATATGCAATACCACAACTGTGGACACGTCGATCGCCTTTGTTCTTCTTAGAGAAAGAAAAACACAATTGCAGAAATAGCTCTGCTACGCAGTACCACTAAAGAGACAAAGAAATTAAATCATTTTGCCTCATCAACACCAACATATGCCAAAGCAATGTGGAGAGTCGTCTATTCTAATTTGTACTCTCCATTGCACTACTAACGTTGTGCGACGGTCCAACTCTCAATTGTGAATGACAATAAACTAAACTGGTTGGACCGAGTTTCTTCCAATTGAGTCGTCCTTTGTCTCAATAACTTAACAACCCTAGCAAATTTCCTGAGTCTTGTCTAGTAACCTAAAGGGAACTTTGTTTCATATACGCTTACCGTTTTCCATCTACGCCAGCAATCAGAACGACATCACAAAGCTGCTGGTTCTCTAAATGCACAAACATACGCTTAAGAATGCTTTCAGCATGTTCTCGGCAACGAAAATATTCATCCTGGCTTACGGCAGACATTAAACTGCCAATGCTGTAATCTCGTGTTAAGGACTCGGCGTCGGCAAGCAGAGATATTCGTGCTGAAGACGATGTTGTGGAATCCCGACTGGGGCTGTCTTTGTTTGTTGACATGATAAATCCAGTCTCCGATTTAGTATTAAACAGAATTATTTGGATTTTTATTTTTAAATTTTAAAATAGAGTTTTACAGTTCTAAACGGAAATGCAAGTACTCTTCAAGTAAATTTTATTTCCGATAAATATTAGTTAAATCAATTTGTCGATTGTTAGCAATTAACCAGGATGCCTCAGATGTCTCTCTATCCGCGTTACAAAACGTACTAAACTAGGTACTTCGTAATGCATTTGACGTCGTTAGCTTAATGCATTCTAGTTGCACAAAGAACTACGCACACAACGAAACTTTTACTACTGTTTTAGATGGAAGCAGGATCGGTACGGAGATCAACAAATGCACTGTCGTCGCCTCTTGACGTTCAAACAAAAAACTTTACAAAAACTGCAGCACTAAAAATATATCTCTGGTAATTTATTCATTTCATTTCTTCTTCTCCAAATTTCTCTGTTTTCACTTGTGACTGCAATTTCTCTCTGCGTAGCTAAATAGCATTTTATTTATTAAATAAACAAATCATATTTTGTCTTTATTTGTTTTGTTTTGCTCTTCTCGGCGTAACTGCTTTCATTTCGTCGCTATACACAAAGAAAATATGTTCACAACCGAATTCGCCGCTAGAATACATAAATAACACAAGTGATGTGCTACTTCGTATCTTAGAATATATTTCTTACTTTAGGCGTTTCATATTGCTAATGAAAAAGGTGCACCTTTAGTCGAGTCTCCTACATGAAATTTAACATACACACCCTATTTCCCTAAAAGTCGTCTGCATGCAAAAACAAGTTAAATATTTCGGGAGTTACTCGTAATGATTACGTTTAAATATCAATATTTTCATTAACAGAACATTACTGGGAAAAAAAATTAAAACTCAATATTTTACATAAATTTTTATTTTAATACATTGTTTTTTTAATTATGAGGATGTAAAAGCCCATCGATAATTAACGAAATAGGCGTGGGCATTAATTAGGAGATGTGTTGCGCTTGGGAGTAGAAGGTGGTAAATCCATTGTTTTACATACCCAACCAGCAATATCGACTTCCTCCACTTCAGCTTTACGTATCCATGGGTGATTCTAAAATATTATGTAAAAAATTATACAAATGAATTTCAATAAAATTCATGGCCTACCAAAAGTGTTTTTAAATCCGCTCGTTCATCAGGGTTCTTCTTAAGGCATATATCAACAAAGTCTTTGAATTCATCTGTGAAAATTTTGTGCTCTAACTTGGGTGGCGGTTCATTTACAATATAATCTAACAATTCAAAAATTGCCATAACTTTAGGTTCTACAACTGTTTGGTTTCCATCTTCAGAGTTTTTATCAAATATAGACTCCAAAGTTTTAGCATCAGGTGGTGGTATCGGATACATACCAATTGCCATTTCAACTAATGACAAACCTAACGACCAAATATCAGACTGAACAGAGTAATGAGTTCCTTGTAAACGTTCCGGCTAAAACAAAAAAGAAAAAAAAATAACAACAAAATTATAAATTAAAATTAATTTAATTCGTTCATATCGTACCGACATATAGCTGCGTGTCCCAACAAACGAGTTCGCCATGGAATCAATTAGTTGGCCGGAAACGCCAAAATCACAGATCTTTATTTCACCACTGCTGTTTACTAATATATTACTAGGCTTTACATCGCGATGCATTATAGCGTGCTTGTCTCGCAAATAACTTAAACCTTTTAAAACGGCTAATGTTATTTTACCTAAAATTGATTCTGGTATTCTACCAGCACGTTTCAATATCAGATCTAGTGAACCACCATCCATATATTCCATGCATATACTAATTTCGCCATCGCTATGGAATGCGCCATAAAATCCAACAATATGAGGGAAATTGCATTGGTGCAAAACCTTCAGTTCTAGTACTATTTGCTTTTTAATTGCTGGTTTCACTTCTAGGTGTATAAGCTTTCTTGCCATTATCAATTGCGTGGGTATGTGACGGACTTTCATAACAACACCTCCATTACCAGATCCCAGTTCACCCAGTTTCTCTACATGCTCTTCGGATACTTCCCCAATTTTCTTCTTTTGACTTAAAAACACTTCTATACGTTTTCTGGCCGTATCGTCCATATCCAAGTCCTTAAAAGTTTCAGCAAGATCCTCAGTACTCGTTTTTCGGGTCGCCAGCAAACTATGTTTTCTTTAATTTAACTTTTTAATGAATTTTTGTGCAACCAAACGAAAAGCAATAAAACAAAATGTTTGATGATTGAATATGAAAACAAAAATAAAAAGGATACAAACTAATGGGAAAAGGGGATATGCGCAAAATATGAAAAAATCAATAGGTGACATAACGGATATTTACTCTGTTCCCGAGGGTGTTTTAAAAGGTGGCGTGGGTACAACCTGTGAGGCAGCTACCGTAGCGTCCACGGCACCTGGCGGCAGCGTCAAATTTAATTTGTTCTTCGACATTTTCATATAGCAATTCAACAGAAACGTCCGCTTCAACCAATCCTATAATATGTATAATAGATTCTTTCACCTTAGAAATAAGATTTTAGTCACACAAATTTACCTTACAGTTATTTTAAAGTGCAATAGCGAGAAAATTACAAAAACAAATTCAACAGCCGGCAGCAAATTTTGTTTATTGTCTACAATAGCATATATAACTAAATTTTATTCCTACAAGTATGCAGTCTGTACATATATAAATAATCTAAATAATCGAAAGTCAGAAGATTATGTTGTAATATTAAGAAAAAATTTATTTAAAAGATTTTGTTTAACTCGCCGTTTTCCTTGCACAAATATCTTCGTTTCTTTGTATTCTAACAGCATTGCCAGAATAAAAATTTTGCTGTCAAACTTTATTCCAATTTATGAGATGAATTGTGTATTGGAAATTGCAATCTTCAAACCAGTACTGGTCTTAGCACATTAAAAATAAATATTATAGAGTATTTACTAATATCCCTTCCATTAATTTTAATTTTTGTTATGCATATGGAAAAATTATTTTAAGAAATATTGTTTCTTATTAAAATTGTTAAGAAACAAATAAACTGTTATGTATATGATATAATAATCATAATAAGTGCTTTCGGCAGCTTTTTGTGTGGCAAAAAATCACAAGTTGCTTACTATAGGCGCTAAACGAAATAGTGGCATCCCTGCCAAGAACGCAAGATATTTTGAAATTTCCTTTTACAACAAAATTAATAATAGTTTACAATGTTTATACCTTAATAAGTATTAACTTGATAGCAACTTGGTTTTATACATATTTTGAAAACGACAGACAGATACATGAACAAACAAATTGGGCACGTATGGAAACAAATCACACTTTTTTATCTGTCAAATCATATAAAACAGCTGTTAATTTCAAAGTAGTCTTGCCACTCTGGTAAAATATCAAGAGTGTTATAAATTAAATTCGATTGTTATATGTTAATTTCGCGTGTTACCAATTGAAAACTACACTAGATCGTTCCCATACTGTCCGTGTTAATTGCTTTTTTCATAGAGAATTGACGAATTTATTCCTGAAGTCTATTGATTTAGAAAATACTACTTCAAAAAACTTCGATATGGCAATAATAAGTACAAGTTTTGACATACATATCCAAAAAATTTATTTGATTTAATGTTTAATTACCCTTAAATGCATACACTAGTTGCAGCTAGATAGCGCGACTACTTTTTGTTGGTGAATTGCTAATGTCTCCACATGTCACGTATATCAAGACACAGTAAATTGAGTATAAACTGAGTTCACTTAAATCCGTTATCATGTTGCTTAGTTCATGAAGTAGGAAACTTGTCAAGTTTTATTTTTACTGTGTATATATTTATTATTAATTTTAAAAAGCAAATTCTTGTCTTTCTATACCAAAGAGCATAAAAACAGTCTTTAACAACACAGACTATTCCCCGCTAGATGGCGTTTAATACGGTCTTTCACAGTATCCTATAAAATACTGCAACCATAATGTTACGTTCTTAAATAATCAATACAGAATCCACTGTTTTCATTGGTCAAACGTGTGACTATAATTTATGTACACAGACCGCCCTAAATTCCTGTTACGGAATTTTTTATTTACTATTTATGTTTAAAGTTTTTTCTGTTGCTCTTGAAGAAAATGCTTTATTAAACACATAAGCAATAAGAACGATGAGTCAATTAACTCCTCAAATTCTTGGAAGCCATATTGGCTTTAATGACAACGTAAAGTAAAGTGAAATAAAAGCGAAATAAGTTCTGCCCATGCAAACCGTAACAATCAAAATAAGTAATAATTGTTTTCATATAAATGTACATACGTACGTGTATATATTTATCCATATATGTGTGGTGTTTGGATATGTGTATGAATGTGCTTGACGGTAACTGTTTAAACTATTTAACATTGCCAAATAGCATAGCAAATATATGTTTGCGGTGCGTTTGAAAAACCGCGCGGCGTGCTGCTGCGCTGCTGGATCCAAACTTCAGTTCAATTCCTTCAAACAAATTTAGTGCAGGCTATGAATTTATGCATAAAATATTTAATGGAAGTGACAAGATCTTTACCTCCAAACTTACCCAAATCAAACTTTACAGAAGAAGCATATCTGTTTTATTATTCACCTATGGAACTAAAATAACAAATTTGTATCTTCCGACAAATGATAATTGGGACGAACGTAGGCTATAAGTAGACGCAACTGAGATTGGAAAGCATATAGCTACACTTTCTTCAGTTTATTAGCATTTAGAATAAGAAATCAGATTCCGTGTTATTTTCAAAAAAAGGCATTAGTAGTTCTCTCCCAATACTTAACTGTGAACAAAGCAACTTCGAATTTGATTAATTGCAAAAACAGAAAGCGAAATTAAAATCGGAAGATTATTTCCAACTGAGAAAAATGTGAATAATAAACAAAGCAATTCGTTCTTTATTGCTCCTCACTGTCTACCAATCAGTCTACGCTTTCTAGTACTCAATGGACGTAAGTGGAATACCTAATTTCCGAAAACGCGCAAACGCTTGCACCTAAACTACCTTTTTCCTCTATTTTGGAACACTTAACTTCTATTTTTAGTACATAATTGCCCAAGGTGCGTAAAACTAAAGCGTTTCGACTTCAGTGCCGCCACCTTTTCATTGACGAAGAGAGACGCTGCTTCACTTTCGAGTCCTTTGTTGTTATTTCGTTTTTTTCGTATTTTTTGTTTTTTTCGTTTTTTTCGTTTTTTCCGATTCAATCATTGTTGTTTATTCATAGATGAACCGTAAAGGAATATCGGACGAATTCGGTTGGCGGTACTGTGAAAGATGGGAACAGAAGCAAAACCAACACCACTCGCGGTTGATACTAATTGGAAGCGATGATGTGTAAATGTCGAGTATCGTTGGAGTACAGACGATACAGACGATACATTCGATAGGATTCGGCTGACATTTAGCGTTCGACGATGTTATCGGCTTTTGATTTTTGATAATTCAAGCTGAAAATTTTTGAAAACAATACTCGTTTGCTCCTCTCTTGCACACTTTCTCATGACTAAGTTAACCAACCAGTCGGTTAAGAAAGTTCCTTTAAAAAAAGCATTAAAAAATATGACAGAACACGAAAGAAGACAAAGTCATTATAGGCATTTCCATTAACGAAAATAGGTAAAGGGCTTAGAATACCGAACGCTGCTTTTCTATTACTTCGACGTACACACCTCAATATACAAGACTACGATATCCATCCATTAACATTCTAATGTTAGTATGTAATTAGAATATCTGCAATTACCAGCAGCCTTACTTAATGTTGAGACAAAGGAAACAATAGAGGCGTAAATTCTTGGTAATCACATAGACTATTTTATATTTTATAGAAGAAATGCATTCAAAATTTATTAATTGTACCAAAAGCTCCTCAGTTGTCTCTTCTTTATTTCTGCTTTTAAAGAAGAGGATTTAAGCATTTATAACAGCTTATGTGTCCAGATTTCAAATCTAGTTATCATGATATCATTTTAGAACAATCTCGATTTGTTAAAGAGACTTTTACAGATCGAAAAATCGTGACAATAACAACAATTCGAAGCTTTGCTTGAGTAATAGACCATAAAGACCAATATATCTTTGTAAGGACATGGCATAATCAAAGCAGAGCCAATAGTGGCTTCTTCGCATTGCGCGAAAACGGGTAACCTTTCAACCAGGAAGTGTGAAGAATATAGAATTTAAGATTCAAAGACATATCCGTTTTGTCATCTGAAATAAATTGGAGGTATAAATTCAATGTCGAAGTATCGCAAATCGATAATTTGGAAATAATGTGTGGCATATTAAACCCCTGAATGCAACTCAGTCTAACCAAAGTGAAATGAATGGTGACAGGCTTATTAGTGCCAAATGAGCGTTACCCGCACTCATTCAGCTAAACAAAGGGCAGTAATAAAAGGCATCGCTGGAACTTCCTTCCTCAGTGACCCGATCATTTTTTACTGCTTCGAACAATTGGAATTGTTTCGTAATTTATGTTGTGTCAAGAGGAAGCGACACACACAGTTCTGAAGGTAAAGGTAAAGGCAAAGACAAATGAAATAAGTCGAGCATAAGCGGTAAATTCATCAAGCGGGAAGAAATATTTCAAATGGAAATTTTGAATTAGTGAAAATCGAATTGTGAAAAGTAAGTGCACCTGATTCTGAATGGGAATGGTATACGTATGCTTTGCATTTTCCAATCTAATGTGTTTACATCCAGTGTCCACTATACTATAAACGTACATCTGAAGCTGCATCTACTCATCTAAGCATCTAAGCAACGCAACATCTAAACATCTATGTGCATCTATGCTCTGTGCCACCGATGTGAGTGACCTCTGACAGAATTGTGCTCGCTTCTTAGCGAACACCAGTTGCAGTGTGTAATTGTTTCATTTGACAGCATCAATAAATTATTTTTTAAATGAATTGGGTTTGTCCATCGAACACCGTTGAGCGGTGGCCTTACATAATTGTAATCTCCATTTTTTATTTCATTTCCCAAAACGAGAAAAATGAATTAGTACGTAGAGGTAGTTTTTTCTTCAGTATTTCACTTTCCGATGCTGTAGACAAAAGAAAAAGGTTTTCTGTAAATTTTTTTCATTTTTTGTTATTAACTTCATTGGCGTTTTATTGGGACCAAGCCATTAAATTAATTCGATTTTTCATTCATCAGTGCAGTCGGTAGCTGTGTTTAATTTTAGTTTTATTGCCATCAAATTAAAGCCTATTGTCGACGTATTAGGGGTCTTAATTTCTAAAAAATTCAATGTGTGTACGCGCATATGAAAATCTAACAGTACACGCATGACTTTACACTAGGCACGTCCGCCCAGACAGATGCTTCCTACATGGCACCGGAGAAAGAAACGAGAGAAGCAGAATTTGCCAACTATATTTGGTGTTAGCCTGACTAATTGGTTATTTACTTCTGCGAAGCTTCGCCCATTGCCCATTTCTTCTTATATCATTAGACATCATTAAGAAAATTTATCCTGAAATCGTGGATCTCTCTTATTTAAAATTTAGTCCAACATCAACTATGATGTGTTGGAAATGAGGGAAGAAAAAAGATAGATTCAAGATCTTAAAACACATCTAACGTTAGCAAATTGTTTATTAGCGGACGAAAAAAAAATGTTATTTATATGAACAGTTCTCCTACTCTTATTGTTCGTTTTCGCAGACATCCTTTTTGATGATGAATTAAAACTTCATTGTCATTACTTTGATTATGTCCCAGAAATATGCCAGCATAAATCGACTGCT